ATGATATTTTAAAAAAAATTGAAGCATATTACTAAAAGAAATTATTTAACTTTATGTTTATGAGATATAAAGCTTAATTATAGTTTAAACTACCACTATAAATATACTTTATTCTAAAATTTTCAATTGAAATTACAACATGATCGAACCTATATCATGTACACATATATAATAGAGATACGTATATGCATATGTATGACTTTGAAAGGTGAATTTTAAAACATTACTTGCCTCTTTAAACAAAAAATTTCCTCCTTTAAATATTTTTCGTAGCACTAAAAACAATGGAGATATTTTAGATTGCGATCTTATATGTCTCTCGCTGTATATTTAATTATAATAAAATCCTTTAATATATCAATATAATTGGCATACAGTTTTACACCTAATGAATTATAAAAGATGTAGCTTTTACTTTGTTATACAGAATATTACAAATAATTACCAACAAATTCATTTTATTTTTAATAAATTACTTAGATATCAAGTATTTAATTTAACATAATTTAAAATTTTCCGCTACTTATATCGAAAGAATATATCGAACAGAGTACTGTTCTTTCGAGTGTTGCGTAACGAGAGTAAAGCATGTAAGATTGCTTACTCCTTCCTATCGAATTTAACTCGATATCTCGAGAAGTACATCGTTATTTGCCGTATTGATAATTTCCATTTTAGGAAATCTTATTGTTAGCTAGTATGCTTGTCAAGGAACCAAAAAGATTCATTTCTACGATAAAACTGTTTGTTTTAGGTGAAAGTTTAATCTTTACTGGATCCATATTATTTTTCCAATGTATGAGTAAATACGAAAGTAAGTTATGTTGCTTTTCATAATTCTTTTATATTTTAGGTTATTTCCATTTATATATTTCATTTTCAATATCATATAATGTATCTTTATAATGTAATGCAATAATGCATAGCACTTAATATTTTAAAAAACGTAGAAAAAAAACATATGAAGAACGTAATAAATAATCATAATTTAAATTTTCCGCAGTTTACTTAAGCTGTGTTCATGCTATTATAAAATAATGTATGTTGTAATGTACAATTAATCAAATTTTTGTAAATGAATCTAAATAAATATTAATATGAACATTACAAACGTTAGATTGCAGATATTTTATATATAAAAGGTACCCAAAGATACTAGACGTTTATTACAAGATTCAGGAAAAGATGTATAAAGAGAATACAAAAGGGGCAGATCTCTTATTGTGGGAAAATCAATAAAATGACAATTAAGTGTCATGAAGTTTATAAAACTTCCAACATTTGCAATAGGTAGTGATGGTTTAAGATATTCTTCACAAATTGTCTCTTGTAAAAGAAAGTATTTATATATTCTGATATAAATATCATATGTATAATGTACCAGACAGGTCTGTTTATGATTGATTTTTATTTTACAAAATTATTTAAAATTGATAAACAA